GGGAAGAGCGCAATGATGGTGCCAACTTGGGCCACTGAAGCAATGTCCTCCACAACTAGATTGAAGAACAAAACGAGAGCAACTTGTCTGTTCCCCTTCCCCCAATTCCCCAGCACTGTACCCATCCCCCCAATTCCCCAATAAAAAATCTTTAAAAACAAACAAACAAAAAAAACCCCTGTAAATCAGGCTGCATAGTTTCTCATTTTTCTATTTTCTGTATTACATGTTCTATACATAGTATTTTCTCCGTTCATATATTTCTAGGCTGAGATTTTTGTCTTGTTTGCTTATTTGTTTTTGCTTGTTTGTATATGCTATATCCAGGGATCCTTAAACAGTTTCTAGTTAAATAAATAAATAAATAATTTTTTGTTTAATGTGTGAATAAACAACCAGTTACAGGACCTTAGAAATCACCTGGGCCAGTCACCCTTCCAAAAGCTGGGATCCCTGCTACATCTATCATGATAGGTTAGAAGGGTAGCCTTGTTAGAACTTCCAGTAACTGGGTATTTCATTCCCTATAGAGCAACCTTTAGACAACTCCACTTGAGGAAGTATTACCATCTCTCTTTTCTTTGGTGTCCCCATCTCTAAAATCAGGAATATTATCTGCCTCTCATTTAGGCATAAATTAAAGAGCTCATGGCTTTTGTTGCCTTTTCTACAGCTCTACTGCTATTAGAAAACTAGTGTTTCTGGAGAGGATTTGGGGAGGAATATCTAATAAGACCTAATGATTGACTCCACACAAAAGATGAAGGACTGGATACAGATATGACAAACTGATGGTGCTATTAACAGACAGTAATAAAGTGAAATAGAAGGCAAGTCTTGCATATATGGGAGCCTAAATTGGTAAAATCGGAATATCCTATGTTTAGAATAGCCCACAGATGTAACATGATCTAACTTCCCATCCTCCCACTCAACAAGGACATGCCTTCCACCATTGTCCCAAATGTTGATCATTCAGCCTCTGTTGGGACAATTTCAGTAATGAAGTATTACTAATACACATATTTTAACTAAGGGTGCTGCTATGTGGATCAGAGAAGCAGAGAGGGAAGAGTGTACCAGCATGCCCAGAGAAGCAGATTTGGAGCAAGAGTCCCAGCTTCTTTCTAGTTCCTGGCTTTAGGCTTGTCCCAAGGCCCATAAACATTCCTGCCCATGAAGCACCATTGTTTCCTTATGCTAATTTCCCCATTTTTTTGCATAGTTTCCATTACTCACACACACAAAAATTAACTAAAGGAGGAATGTAGATACCCTAGAGCAACACTTTCTTGAAACAAAAACATTCATACTTGGACCTCTTACTTTTTTCTTCTTAGACACACTAGATCAGGGGTCGGCAAACTTTTGAGATGGAAGAGCCAATCCCCTCCCTTACAACAATTTAAAACTTATTCGAGAGCCATAAAACAAATGAAATCACCATTATGTGAATAATATCCTTTAAAAATTTTATAAATGAAACTATGACAGTTTTATTTTCATTTTCAATTTTACTTCAGAGCCACATGTACGTACCCAAAGAGCTGCACATGGCTCACGAGCCACAGTTTGCCAACCCCTGCACTAGGTGATTCTGACACCCTTTAGGCACACCAGAATTATTACTCCAGGGGGAGGTCTTCTTAGGTCACACAGCAGCCATCAGAAGGCCAGAGTTCTCTGTCTGAAACTGCCCGACACTTAGACCTCAGGATCTCTGAAATCTGAGTTGCTTTTGCTTTTGACTTGATCAGCATCATCACATTCACACCCAGGAGTTGCCTTTGAGCTTCTGCCCTTTGGTCCTTCGGGCTTTACAGGACTGGGCAATAATGGCGAACACTGTGATCAAAATCTGGAGGGTTCTCACCTTTTACACTGAATGAAAAGAGGTATCAACAAACATTTGTTCAGAACTTTAGAATCTATGAAACTTATGTATATCATTTGTCTGCCTGAAACGTGACAACACTGTGAAATGGGTCAAATCCAAGAATCTTGGAGCTTGTAAACATTGTACTGGAAAACAAAAAAAGTAAACAGAAGCTTTGAATACCAGAGCTTCCAGCAAATTCTGAAAACTTATTTAAAAAAAAAAAGAGTAAAGCACTTATCTAAATCATCCTAAATGAGGTTGCTAAAACACGATAAGACTCTAAAGCAGAGTCAGAGGGTTGCAGAGATTTTACAAGTGAGATCAAAGAAAGTAATACTTAGAGGCTGTGTCCACATATTCTTATACAATTCTTGAGTGCCTAATTACATGCCAGATACTGAGCTATTTAATGAAAATGAATAAATAACAGTCCTAGTAACCTGTGGCCTGTATCTATCTTCAGACCAAATACTGTCGCTTAGGAGAAGAGATAGGCAAGTAAATAGCAGCACCTCCTTAAATTACATGATTGCATAAACAGAAAAAAACTTTCTCAAAAGTAGGCGATGCTCTTGGCAGACAAAAATAGCCACTATATTTGGACTGATATCCAGCCATACGCACTAGTATGGCCGAACCGGTTATTAAAAAATTGAAATGCTTTCTCACAGATTAGTAATCAGATGCTGCCCAAAGAAACTCTTCTGTCTTCAACACCTCCTAATCCCACCAAACGGGAACTCTTTTGGTGTTGGCTCGGCCTTGCATCTCGATTAGGTTCTGATTGGTCACGTTCCTTGCCAGTCGGCTTCAAAAGCTCCGCCTTCCAGGTGGCCATTGGCTACTCCCCAGGAGGGTCCCGCCTTCACGTTGGCGCCGGTCCATCGGCTACGCCTCCAGTCCGCTGCCGGGTACAAGCCCTGGCTGGGCTGAGAAGCCGCGCCTTGGGTATGTGTGATGACACCGTCTGTGCTGGTGGTTATTTTGAATTCTCATTCCTGACTAAACCTTCTTACAGTGTGAGCCCCGTAAGGGCAGGGGTTTGTCTTGTTCAATCTTGAATTTGCTCACAGACCTTACCTGTGTCGCTCCACACTGCCGGTCCAGACATTGAAGTGAAAGTAAAGATTTGGGGAAGGAAGGAGGAGAAAAGAACAAAGTGTGCATTGTAAGTAATGTGAAAGCCCCTATTTAAAATATTTACTGCTTTAGATAGCCTGCTTGAAATATCAAGCCTTAGCAAAGCTACCCCCTGCCTTCTAGAAGCTCCCTCACGAAACTACGCCTTGCATTATGTCTGTCCGGTTTCGTTACTTCGTCAGGAAAGCCAGGCAGAGAGCAGGCTCAGCTTGGAGTTTGGGATAGTGGGGGATGGGGATGACAAGCATAGTTGGGGTAGTTTGGTAGCATTTAAATATTAATTTTTAACAGATTTCTTCCTTCCCCTACTAGCCTCCAAATCCTTTCGGAGCAAAAAAAGACTTTGTTTTTCCCCAGAGTCTAATAGCCAGTACCTGGAACCTAGCACCTTCTCATTGTTTATTGAATGAATGATGGAATGAATGGCGTGCTCATGGATTGAGACAATACTTCACTGGTTGTATACAGAACACTTCACAGTGGTACTGTACCAAGTGAAGACACGAGTATCCGTCACCATTCCCTTCATCCAATTAGTTATTCAACAAATATTTACTGTAAGGACTATGGGCTGAGAAGAGCAGGCACCGGGTTATACAGAGGCGAACAAAAGAAATACGTTTGCTGGTAGAGGTTGTATTCTTCCTGGCTCTGTCTCTCCCCCGTTATCCCTCAACCCACCTACACCTCCGTTGCTTTCCCGCCCCTCAGTCTGAAACAACAAAAGCCTTGAGTAGTGATTTTTTTTCAACCCTGAATGTTTACCTGGTTTGTCCCTGAGACCTGCAGCCCTACTTCCTTTCTGTGGAGTCCAGATGGATTGAATTGTTCCTAGCAGCTGTTACAATGTCCTGATCTTAGCTGCTGCTGTCTCAACAATTTCCACTGTCAGTTGGCGTCTTTCTTTTTTTTAAATTGAGGAACAGTGTGTTTTCCAGGACCCATCAGCTCCAAGTCAAGTAGTTGTTTCAATCTAGCTGTGGAGGGTGCATCTCAGTGGCCTATGTGGGGATCGAACCGGCAACCTTGGTGTCATGAGCACTGCGCTCCAACCAACTGAGCTAACTGGCCGCTCCAGCTCCATTCCGGTATTTCAGAAACTAGTGAACAACTTTCTCTTTGATTTTCTTTACAATATTAAGGGTCATATTATTCAGTTATTACTAGTTTTTGTTATCCTTCCTCATTAAAATAACAAGCAGACTTACCCAGCTTTACCTGCCAGAAAACTGAATCCAATATGACAATAAATGTGACAAAATGGAACACAACCTAATTTGCTGCTAATGCTTTCTTGTGGTGAATTCTCTATCTTCCAAAGAATTTTCGTTAATCAGTTTCTTGTGGTCATCCTTTCCCCTCTCCCTGGCCAACCTTCTCCCATCACTGTCTGA